ATGGTTATCGATTTACCATAACCGAATGTAATCAACATATAGACAACCTTCAACTAGTGAAACCTAAAAATTTCGTAGTTCAATTTTAGTTAGCACTTGTAGAGTTATGAAATAAAAATATTTAGCCATCTTTTACTCCGCTAACAATTTTAAAAAAGGCTAAGAAATATTTAACTAAACTATCCATAATTACTTTAAAATAAATGGAAAAACAGTGTATATTTGATTATTGAATTTGAAAAATAATTTCTTAGTTCGAAAAATAAGATTTATGAACCTGACTAGTGAGTGCATATTTCCTAAAGACAAATCAATGAAGACATTCCGAGCTAGAAATCATATTTCTCATACCACAGTAATTCCTAAAAGACTGACTGAAGTTGTAAAATATGAACCTTTATATTTCCGCTGACTATGTCGGTATCATAAGTCTTCTCAATGGGTTTCAAATAGTATCATGAATAAAGAATATAAAGGAAATCGGGACAATTTAAGTAAGTGTTCAGTATTCACCAATCTTTAGAGACTTTATAAGGTTACCACAGGTTTGAAGCTAGATAAAGTAGAAGGATTGAGCATGGAATTACGAAACCCATCCCATGATAAACAACACTGCTAAAAACATTAAGACGAAAATATAATATGAATCTTTAGAGAATAACTGGCTAATTCTAATTTTTTAAAGTGTTGATTTGTAAAAAACCTTGGCTTCATTTATTAGTTATAGCTGAATTGTGTTCATTAAGTTGCATACTGAAATTAATCTAATCTAAAATCGTTGTAAGCTACACAGTCTATGACGTCAGTACTATACAACAGTCAAAAAACTTCAATTTTGTTGTGAATGTGCATTGATATTCAGTAGGACTACAAGTCATCTGTTATCTGTAAACAGTAACAGCGTTTACTGCAAACACAGTAAGGTTAAATTAGACTGCATAGCAAATAGACTGATATCAATATTCGAAATATGGAAAAACGTTTTGATAAAAACTAGCACAGTCTAGTGCGTTCCATCTAATTACATAGGAAAACAGCCAACAAACATCATTTAACATGTTTAGAAGTTACTCCTATTAATGTTAGTTGAAATAATTAATGTCATCATATAGTTGCTATAAGACTATTTACGGCACATTAAAGAAACAGACTTTTCAAAGTTGGAACTTTCGTACTCACAAAGTATGCCTTGATTATATTGGAAGTTAAAGTAAATTATTTGGATTCTATCCACTTTAAAATGTATTTATTGAAACTAAAAAAGAGAATTGTACGAATCTACAAAATACATACGAGAAAACTTGTGAGTAAAATATACGTGAAATATTCACTAAGCCAAGAATAAAACTGAAAAAGTAGACCAAACTATTAGGAATTCGCATACCAATAGTTGTTTTTCTATTTGACAATACATGATTTAGTTCGGAATCAGGATCGAGGTAATGATTACTGAATTTTATTCAATAGCAGATTAAGTTTACATTGTTGATATGAAAACATATGTTTCATGATATATTTTCACAAAATGAAAATAAACTGGTTTAACCCATTCAGTAAAAGCTCATTTCATTAATTATCAATTCACTAATTGCCTCCTTGAATAACAACTGAGTATTGATCTAAATTCATTGTCTGTTTTGCCCAGAAAATCGTAATCTAACTAACAAGACAAGTGTGAAGCTTTTTCATTCATTTGATTTACTAGAAAATTCTATCGAAATTTGAAGAGTGACATGAGTTTATTTTGATACTATATACTTCCCAGACGTATAAGTTTTAAAAGTCATATTTTAGAGTTCCTTTAGATTAACAATCTCATATAATGTTATATCCCCAAAATATTTTGTTGTGAACGTTCTTTTATCTTAAACATTATACTACTCGTAAGTAACATGATATTCTGATTCAAACGAAGCTGTATTATTACTAGTAATGAATCAGTAAAACTTATTTCATCATGAACATCTGAAGTATAACTTAGAGCATTTTATGATTTCTGTTCATCTGGTAAAATAATGAATTACACTTTGACAAACATTTCACGCTTATATATTGTGTCAAGATAGATTAAAAATCAGTTAATATAAAATGACAGGATAAACGTAGTAAATAAAAAACCATGTTCATCCATAGCAAATTAAATAATGGGACATTGTATAGCAATTTTGAAGGACAAATTCCTAGGTTTTTAAAATTATTGAAATTAAAAATTATCAAATTAAAGCCCATCTTATGAGTATAAAAACAATTTATTGTTAACTTGAATTTACTCTGGTGATCCTTAAGCCATTTTATGGCCTAGAGGTACTGCAGTGATTTCTTATTATACCGATGCTATGTCAATTTTCTCCTTCCTTTATTCTTGATTATCACCTTATGTTTATATAAACTTTTATTTGATTGACCTTCATTGATTTTTCAAATAAAATGCTATGTCTTCAAACTCCACCATCACTCCTCCACCCCATCCCCTTGAAAACTAACTCACTAAAACATCGCAAATCAGAACAAATGATTCAAGCCATTTAAATAACGCCCTCGCAGTTCGGAGGTCTTTGTTTAAGAGAGTTATTACACCTCATGGTGAAGGCCGAGTTTCTTCGGAAGTCACAAGACCAATACCTGTTTTCACAACTAGTGGAACATTTAATACAAGTGCCTGAAATGTTCGCACATTGTGGGAGACCGGGAGAACCATTCAAGTTGCTGAGGAAATGAGAAGATACAACCAGAAGATATAACCACAACAGCAGAAAAGCTACTAGAGAAGAAAACATGAGAAACTACATGATACGACGAAGAAGCCCACTAGAAATCATCGGAAAATAGAACAACCAATGAGAAGCAAGGAATTCAAGGTAATCATCAACATTGAAGAATAATCTAAACAACTCTTTAATCGGCCATTCCCACTGAACCTACTCACCTTTGAAGCAGCATCCACAGATCTCCCAATCAATGTTGATTTACCAACATTCGAAGAGATCAGTATAGTCATTTGACAAATCAAGTGTGGCAAAGCAACGGGGCCAGACATTATTCCAGCAGACGCAATGAAAGGAAACGTGGCAGCAACTGCAAACTATTCCACCTCTTCAACAGGACTTGCGATCAAGAACAAGTACCAACAGATTGGAAAGGGTACCTAATTATGATCTCAAAGAAAGGAGACTCCGTTAAGCCTAACAGTTGCAGAGGCATCACTGTTCTCTCAACACCAAGAAAAGTCTCCAACAGAGAATCGTTCGACTAAATGAAAGGCTCCGTATACGCTCAACATCGAGACCAGGATGCTGGATTCCGTAAAGATAGGATATGTACTAATCAAATTGCTCGCAACAATGAGGATAATTGTGGAACAATCAGCTGGGTAGAATTTGCTACTCTACATCAGTTTCATTGAATACGAGAACGCATTCGTGTACAGGATGACTTTATGGAGGCTTTTTCGGAACTATGATGAACATGAGAAGATGATCAACGTCGTACTGAATCCTTATAATCGCTAACCGTTCAAGCTATTGATCAGTCTGACATAGTATTACCAGCAGTCTTACGAAATTTTAGAAAATACCTAAAAAGATCGTCAATGATGCCCAATATTTTTACTCATTTGAGCGAGTTCATAGAGTGTAGATATCTCTCAGATCAATAATCAAGATCATGGACATATTTCAGAACATACCACTTCAAAGAGACCACGTTAATTAGTCAGGTAAGTATACAAATGATGCATCTCCTATTATAACCTAAGTTATGGATCCCCGTATTTGTTCATGTTGACTCAATACAATGACAACAAGAGCTAACATGAAAGCTACTTTGCGTACATTTTCAGCAGTTAGATCTGTACAACGTGACCATCGATTATTCAATTAATGCCTTCTCTCTAAACTTATAAATGGGATGGATATGTAGGAAATACATTCTCGACTGGATCATCACTAAAGATTAAGATAAGTTTTAGCGACGTGATTTTATCCAGCTGTGGTTTTACAGATTATCTGATACATCTTTTTAATTCTACACATGTAAATGAAGTAAAATAATTTTTAAATTATGTTTGATCTAAAATATTCAGACCAAACACTAATTATTATGACTATATTGTCTTTAAGTGATCTTGAATGGGGTTATTATTGTTCAGCGGAATCGATAGTTCATCATGTAATATGGAGTCAATTTCCAACTAACACTTTCAGCATCATGTGATGATCTTATTCATATTATCCGTTTAATGAACAAGAGCAAGGAAAAATGTAAAGAGACGAGAGAATGGTTATTTTTCAGATGCTGATTCACAGAGATTATCTGATATTTATTTATGACAATGATTCCTTAATACACTTATCCGTGACTAAGTCTAATTCCAGAACACACAGCTTTTGATCGCGCTCGTAGAATTCTCGCTGACTCGATTAATGATCCAGGCTGGAGTATGAGATTACGAATATGACAATTTATGATGTTACTAGCTGGCTTACAGAATACTGTTACTTCTGGTAATCACAGTTAAATTAGAGAAAGACAGCTCTATAGAAAAGTGTCGACCAGCGTTATCACATACAGTCTAAAAAATAAAAAAAATTAGATTTCACCTGATTGGTGTAGAGGTTGATCGTTCACGCGCGAGATCAGTGTTCAACTCCTGAGTACAGGGTCCTGAATGCATGATGCTGACGTGTCTGATACTAGAACAAGGCAGTCATTCGCTACTTCCAAATATTCACGAACAAGATTTAGACAATAGATCTGCTTACGAACATTTAAGAAGCAATTTTTCACATTGTAATCAAATGTGTTCCTCCGACGACAGAGGAATTAGTACGGGTTCCTCAAGTTCCGCAGATCTGTTGACCTACATCCGCATGAAGTACATTATGCCTGAGACTTTTTAGGATTTCCTCCGGCTTCTATGGGTATCACTGTTTGATTTGAAGAATTTATTGAAACTTACGTCCTAAATGTTTAAGTTAATCTCTGGCATGACCTTGAAAGTAAATCTTAGCACTGATTAGACTGACAAAAGGCGTGACCTTGTGGGCGAACTAGGTGTAATGACTTTCAGGTGGTGTGGTACCAAGGTGAAGTTCTGATTAGTCAAAACAAAGATTATGATTTATTAAAGCTGTTTTTGGATAATTGTCTCTCGTCAGCAACTAAGTCCCACCTGAGTTAAAAAATAATGACATATTCATGGTTTCAAATAAAACATATCCAAAACGCTGATTTTTCCATATCCTTTTTTTACCTGAATCCTTTACATACTTAGAAGTAGATTAAGTGAATATTTTCATGAGACTCCGGTTTCAGATTTGTTGAAAGATTGGGGATGGTTTTGGGGAATACTTCGGAATTTCCCTAAAGTTGGTGGGTTAGGAACAGGCTATTGTCTACTCTTTTCGAATCATCCAATGAAAAGTTCACACACTTACTTTTCCGTTAGTAGGTTCCACAAATTGATGGCTCGGTTTTAAAAGTATGTGACACTGGTTGGTTCTTGCATTCTAAACTTGCCCACTGCTACTTCTGAGTTGCCCTGATTTAGTAAAAAAGTATATATCAGGTCCAAAACATTTATTTTATGCATCAAAATCAATTACCTTATCTGAAGTAAGACAGCAAGCATCTTTGTGTATTGTAAATTTTGATGAAATCGACGTAAGCAACACTATCAAACGACTCATGCATCCCTCTAGCAATAAGGAGATTAGTTGTACGAAACGGTTCTTTCATGAAACTAGGTCATCCACTGTCTGACAAGTTGTTATTTCTCGCGGGGGTTATAATGGTATTTTCTCCTATTGTTTCCAGTTTTTGTTTCTTACCTACAACACTAGTAAAGCTAACATTTGTGGTTTGTTGAATAGTTTTGATCCTATCCTGTGAAGTGAAACAACAATTTCATCCTCCCGGTTCACAGGTATCTTACTATGTCTAAGTGGCATCTTGCGTACTGTATAGCATACGGCATAGCAATATATGATCAAATAATCTCATGCTTTTAGTGTGTACAAATCATTCGGTCATGTTGACTGTGTTTAGAAAACAGTGTCTTGAGTAGTTCGCCTCGATAAAGTACATAGTTAGTAGCTGATTTAGCGATGTTAGTTCTGAACGAAGTCCTTCGTTGAGAAGAGGTTTATCAGTGAAAACTCGCATTGTAACCAACTATGACTTCTTCTTTACCTTAAGCTTCTTTCCTGACCGTAGCTGCTAACTCGATGTGGTAGTCGGGCGTGCCTATCTTGATGACCCAACCTAGCTATATTGACTGCGACATATGTTCCTGTAGGTTCTACCATGTCAGGCAGGTTAGTTGGAGAGTGGTGAGACTAAAAGCAGATAATGAAGGTCTGAGGGCGAAGTCGTACTGCTGATTGCAGAGGGTTGTGACGGCATTAAAGTGTTTCCCTCAGACAACCAGCATCTGAAACGATGCTGCCTTCTCACACCGAAGGAAGGAGTTAGAAAACGTCGACCATAAATATGTCACAACTCACCTTATCTCACAGATTTCCTTATCCGACTGTAATGCCACTTGAAGATCGGAGCTAACACTTCACAAACGTCTCATAAAAAAGCTGTGCATGACCAACTTCAAACAGTTGTCCCATGGGTTCGGTGATCACCCACCCAGGTCTCTAAGATCAACACTAATCTACCTTCCTTTTTAGGTTCCTTAAGAAACCCTCTTCCATGATGTAGGCTGCAATCAATTAACAACAACGTAGAACTTCGTACGTACGTACATAAGTTCAAGTTGCCATACCACATTAGCCCAGAGATGCAATGGTCAATTCAAATCCCATAGTAGTAGAGGTAGTAAAAATATTACCAGTAATCAGGGATATTAGGGTTCTAGGAAGTGACATTCGACCACATACCCGCAACTGCCTACGAGAGAAACGTGGTCATAATCAAATCCTTCCTGAACTTAATAACTCTCTTGCCTCCACGACGAAACCTCACGTTCCTTTACCACTTAGCGCTACTGATGCAAATATTTTGAGCTCATAAAATGTCTCCTAAAACCCCGCTCTAAACTACGTGTGGTTTTCAATGTTCGAACGAGACAGCAATCACTCTTAAAGATGGAGACATTAGTCGTTGTCTCTGCCAACGATCCCACTGACTGTAGCTCAGATGAGTTCTACAGAAAACTTTCTAGCTTTCAAAAAGCTAAACGCTCTGATTTAGTAATAATGGCTGGTGACTTCAATACTCAAGTAAGTAGACTTAGCTATACCTGGGTGGATCTTATGCTGTCGCGGCTGATCAAACAGATAATGGCGATGGCCTGTTACAGATGTGCTCAGACAACCGCCTATTTCTACCAAAAACTAACAATCAGTTACAACGTAGAACTTCGTACATAGGTACATCAGTTCATGTTGCCATACTACATTAGCTCATAGATGCTCAGGGATTCAAATTCCACAGTGGTAGCGGTAGTAGAAGTATTAGCAGTAACGGAGAAGATTATAGTTCGAAGATATGATTCGAGAAGTATAATTCAGTGAGATAAATTTAGAAGGAGAAGGACAGAGATTATGAGGAATTCAGAAGGTTAGAATTTCATAGAACACAAAGAGTGGATGCACCTGCGTCATTGCAAACGATTCTGAGCCATGTTGTTCAAGGTCTCTAACCATTGGTGACTTTCGTCTCGCGGACCTCAACCAGGTAGCCTACATCTACCAACATGACTCAGTCCACTTGTCAGTGACTTCATGGATTTGTGCCATGTTTTGGTCTGGCCGCCCTAGCTTTCGACCTACCTATTCCTACATCAGGAAACATAGCTCGATGAGGCAGTCGGTGGTTAGGCATGCGTAACACATGTCGCAACCACCTCAACTGATGAAGTTTCACTACTTCATCTATTGATCCACCATCCTTATCTGGTACCTGTTTCATCTGAAATCCATTGTACTTCATTTCTGTATTATGATACGGTTAAAATGTCAGAGGCAATTTTCTTAAATCTTACAATATTTAGTTAGTCTTTTGCAGTGAGAAATTGTATCCGTACGGCAATAATGCTCAGTAGTCTGCTGTCATATTCTTGACACTGTAGTGTAAGTCATTTACTGTATTACTCAAGTTACATTCAACTCCAGTTATTGTGCCTTTTTACAATAGAAAAATACAATAGTCACAAATTTACCTATTTAATTGTAAATTTGATCACTCAGCATGCAGCTTAAACAATACCATACAACTGTCACTACCCTGGTAGGGTAAATTTGTGAATTTATTTTTCCAGTACACTGACAATGAGTCTATTTTGGTTTCTTTGGAATATAAACTTGGACATTTTATACTCTAAATCACAGCTTATCTGCCTGACCTTACAATTATTCTAAGTATTATTCATGAATAGCAATAAGATGGGTTTTCATGTGATCAGAAGTTCTTATCACACATTGATGTAATGTAACACAGTCCAATCGTTGATGCGAATTCACGTTTTCTGTCAATATATGTGACACATTTTCTGTCAGTGTCAGTAGGATTGCTTCACTGTCCAAATCGAAGTTGGTGGGGTAAAGTGTGAACATTAGACCCAACAGTTGAAAATCATGTGCTTTAATCACATCACTTATTGTCGATAAATTGATAATGTCGGCTTAGTGTTTAGTACATTAGACTTGAAAGTATTAAGTGGCAAACTCCGGTCATATTTCAGCTACTTTAGTTTCAGTAATCAAGTGGTATCACGTGTCTTCATGAGGACACACTGCTAAAAATCAGGTACACACACCGGAATTCAGTTATTAAGTTTCAAAATCAATTGGATGACAAGTGCTTTTTTTTCTTCCTGTTTCAGTGTATACAAACATGGTGGCTTAGGAAAACAAATTTGTTGAATGTCTCCAGTTTACAAATAAACTTATCATGCAACCAGATGAGATTATCATCTTGGCGTCATTTAGTTCCAGAAAACAAAACATTCTATTCGGGAAAATGGGAACCCTCTTTGTCTGGAAAAACTTTTTCGGGTTTGTTTACTGTTTGTTGATTTTCCCAGATGAAAATCCAAATTTCCATTGAAATAATGCTTATTTATCATTCTGGGCTATGTAATCCTACCATGGCACATCACTTTTACAGGGTTGATTTTGGAAGGCTTTTCCTGTAGGCTACTGTAATATTATAACATCCCTCCGGATTTTGTTCACGCTCAACAAAATACCTTCAGATGAAAATGCTCTTGAAATCAGTTGTAAATCCGAATTTTAGTTGTAGGCTATAATGTTTAGTGTTGTATTGAACTAATAATGGCTGAGAAAGTTTGTGCTTGACTGCAAGATCAGGAGATTGTAGCTAACAGCTATCGTTTTGATTACCGCTAATCCTTTTACTACCTCTATTACTATGGGATTTGAACTGACCATTCGGTCTCTCTATGCTTATGTGGTATGACAACTTGAACTGATGTACGTACGTACGAAGTTCTGCGTTGTATCTGACTGACTGATTGCACTGACTTCGTTTCAGCTATATTAGCAAGTAGGATAGCGTATTTCCTATGTATAGTATGATATTACAGTGGTCAACGATATCCAGCAATGTGAATTGTAACTAATTCAAAATTAATTCATCTTTCACGTGCTGAAATCGAGTATAAGACCTTGTAGTTAATTATTAGATTGTATTCATTACAGATTGACCTCATTTTGGATATCATCAATTCAAACATGTTGGAAGTAAAACAGTTGTCGTCACTGACGTTGTGCTATATCACAAATTAATTGCGGTTGAAATTATACTACCGGACTCTAGCCCAATGGTTATAACAGTTGAACGTTCACTATGAGATCCGGAGGTGATGGACTCTATCCCTAGTAAAGTTTTAAGTTCATAGTGCTGAAGAGTTGTATAATAGAATAAAATAACTGTCCAGTGCTTCTCAAGCTTTCAATTATAACAGAATTTAAGGAGACCTATATATGATGCATAAAACCTAAAAACTAAATCAATTTCTATAAATCCCTACAATTAAATTAAGTACCAATAATTTTAAATACTGAGCTATGCTAATTTTCACTGTGCTTTAATAATTTTTATTAGTTGATTTCATTTTTACTTTTGTTGTTTTGGACTTTTTTGCATTATTCCGTTGGAGGGAGGGGCTGCTGCTTTTCAAATTACAGAATGCGAATACTAAGCTCGTATTTAACTGAACCGAATCACTATACATTTTTTATTCATTAGTGTTCACACAGTTTGTTGATAGGAACACAATTATCCTTTCGGTGTCTTGTTAGGCAATCACAGTTTGATTGGTTTGTATTTTGTATCTGTGCCCCCATAGAAATATGAACTCTTAAATAGAATAAATAAACTTTTCACATGGATAATAGATAAAGTTAAGGCATTATCTTATCCAACTGATTCTCATCATAGTGTTGGGTTAAAGGAAGTTAGCATTGATTTCCAGGATATTTATATGAATCAGTTGTTGTTCTCATCCTTTAACCGACTCAGTTATATAATTATATATTTATTAATATTTATTTCAGTTGTAAATCCGGCTACAGGTGACTGCTTAGGTTCAGTCCCAGCTTGCTCAAATAATGAATGTGAAATTAGTGTCAATGTAGCTTCAGTTAGTCAAAAAGAATGGGCATTGAAAACACCAGATGAGCGATCTTCCATCATACGTAAATGGGCAGATGCTATTCGAAAAAATGTTGACTCATTAACGGATCTTATTGTAGCCGAAAATGTAAGATATTTTCTTATGTATATTAGTATATTTTTAGATACATTGCATTAAAGATTTGTGTTATGTCTCTGTGGTTACAATTCAAAATCACATCTGTTAAATATTATATATATATATGTATATATATATATATAGCAGCACAGCTATCGGTTGGAAAACCATTGATCAGTGATCAGCTATTTCGTTTCTATTTGCTACTCGGCAGTACTTACTTTACTATCTCTCGTGGGAGCCTGGATTTATAGCCTTTAGACCAGTGATAAGAAATGAGTTGTACAGGGCGTTTTTGAAGGCTATTGAGTTTTATGGCCAGAAGCACAGATTCATCTTAGTTAAACAACCATTGAAATCCAGGAATCGATGGAAAGCTGTTTCATTCTAGTATTGAACCCCTCGACACTACGCACCCATAACCCCACTGACAATTTAAAGGTTCTTATCTCTATCACTTATGAGGTTTTAGATCCTATATTAGGATTAGTGCTTTCTAATGCCCATGGTTATCTAACTAACATTATTCCATGGTGTTAACTATGAAATTAATGAATTGAATTATTTTTATTTTCCAGGGGAAATCATTATCTGATGCACGTACTGAAGTTCTAACAGGTGTTGCTGCTCTAGAATGGTATTCTGAAGAAGCCAAACGTGTTTTTGGTCATCACATTCCATCATTGCGTTCTCATTCACGACATCAATTAATTGTACACCAACCAATTGGTGTTGTTGGTGTAATTACCCCGGTAATTAGATCGTGATTCATTTTTGTTGTGTTCATTTATTATCCTACTGTCAGTCGTCCGTGTAAATTAGTAATAGCACGTTATTGTTCTTCACAATTTTATTCCAAAATTGTGCAAAACATGTAGTGTTATTACATAAAATGTTTCTACTCTAGATGAATTCTACACAGGAATATTTTATTGAAATTGTTATTCTTTCACGCGGCTATACTCACCGACATGTAACTGAGTTATTGAATGTCAGTTTTGAACCATTTCTTAGGTAGGAAGTATAGTGATGCTCTCCAAATAGAAATCCAGGTAGAAATGAAGAGAAGGGATCTTGAACCTGTAATCTAATAATTGTGAATCGTGTAAATTAACTACTAAGGCTGTATGATATTCAGAGTCGTCACTCAATTATTATTACTTCTGAAACTATCTACTTCTTTTGATTTTTTAGACAATAATGATATTTTAAGCAAACCTAAAAACTACTTAAATCTATTCAATGTATTTTTGCTTGTTTGGAAAAATTGGATTATTTTAAGAATTTCCCCAATTAATCCTTTATACCATAAATTCCATTTTTCATTATCCCACTTACTACCTTAATGTTGCAGCTAATAATACTCCCTTACTACTCAGATCATAATTCAAATTCATCAACTATGAGTTGTTTTTTCACAACTAAGCTTCAATCAATGCTACCAATTTACCTAAGTAGTAGCTTAGTGTACACATCTTCACTTGATAGTAGAAAAGTTGCGAAGTGCCTGATATATTTGTCAAAATGGCTAATCTACAGATCAGTTGAGTAGTCATTGGATAAAATAATGAAATTAAGTGGCTTGTTTATCCAGAAGCATATTTCTTTTGGCACAGTTGTTTATGAGGTTTATTTCTTTCATTTGGTGATTGACAATTCACTCATACTTTCTACCTTTTCTTATTGCAAGATATTGACATTTTGTCTTTTTCTTCTATAGTTACAGCTAATTTTACTTCTTTGAAATCGATTATGCTCATTATAAACTGAGTATTATCATACAGTTATTTTTTCAATATTTTCAACTATTTCATTTACTTACATGATAAAATATTCTTACATGCTAAGGAGAAAAGATCTATGCTACATTCGAAACAAGTGAATATTTTAAAAAATTGCCTCATAAGTAACTAACTAACTATAAATGAAAAGTTAATCATAGATATTTTACATTTTACCAATAATTTGAAAGTGTTAATGTATTTCCATATACTTAAACTTAGTGGAATTTTCCACTTTCTATGGTTACACGAAAAGTTGGTGCTGCTTTGGCTTCAGGTTGTTCCGTAATTATTAAACCAGCTGAAGATACTCCATTGACCTCACTGGCTCTTGCTTATCTTGGCGTTGAAGAAGCAGGCATACCTCCAGGTGTTTTGAATGTAATTACAGCTGCAATTGATAACAATGACGCAGCTCAAGTTGGAAATGTGTTATGTACTCATCCGTCTGTTCGCTTAATTGGATTCACTGGCTCTACAAAAGTGGGAATGGTAAATTTAACTACTGTTTTGTTATTAACTCTAATGAGTTTGCATAAAATTGTCGTATGTTAACAAAATAATACCTAAATATACTTGCATCAAATTGCATATTGTTAGAAATTCAATTCTCCACTCAGGATATTCTAAATATTTTACTATTTTATAATTATAATCAATCTACTCTCTATTTGATTTATGTTAGAAAAACATTTTAGTTTTCACTTAGTCTCTTATATAAAACGCGTCGGTTTTTAGATAATCGAACAGTAAGACTAATTCGAGCCTACCACTGAATTAAATGCCAGTTTTTAAAAACATCTGTAAGGGAAATTATTCCAGAGGTACCGTTGCTTTGAGTGTTTCAACTTAAAATCAGTCTTCTGCCTAAAAAAATCTAGGTAATGCAAATGCCAGAATCCAGCCTTTCAAGTAAGTAGTTTCACGATGTCTTAAGAATTAAAGCGTTTTAACCACTGTTTCATTCGATGACTGTTCTGTGTGTTGACGTCAAGGCAACTAATCGCAATCTTCAGATTCTATTAATAGAATTAAAAACCGACAACTACTTGAATGAGTGCTTAAAACATGTGACATTATCTGAATCCTTTTTTTAATCTACAAAGGATAAATTTCACAATAGGAATGGGCAAATGTTTATCTGTTTCGGTCAATTACATCTCAGAACAATTGTTTTCAAGATATCAAACTTTAGATTTTAACTAACAGACGCAAATATGTAGTCATCATTAGGTATTATATTCAATGAAATGATTCCCGATTAAAATTCACTACTGCGACACTGTTCACGGTTCTATTCTTTTCATTGATAAAAAGACTTTGTTAAGGCTGATAATAGTGTAAGCATATGTTAGTTTCATTAATAAATGATGAATTTCAGTATCTTGATTCATAACACTTCTTTTACTCTGGTGTACAATATATTGGTGCAAACAACTTCACTCGACACTTATAAAACTTGGTTCCTTTGCGCCTAAGACATTCAGTGACTCAGTGTTCGACTGTTATTATCTCAAAAAGATTACTGGCATTCGATGATACCGATATAAATAATACTGAGACTAAGCAACATGTGTTCGATCTTTGTTGAGGAGGTTGTTTTGTCTTAAATAATCAATTTAGTCATTTGGAAACAGCTCATGCGTATTGTCCTAGCAACTTTCATACCTACATTTTCTTCTCATATGGTGATTAGGTAAAAAATCAATTTGCGAAATGGTTCCGTGTGATAAAAATTAGACGAGTGTAGCCTCTGTTAGTTTTTGACAGCTGTAGCTAGCGACAGAAGGAGATTTTTATTGATTATCCCTGGGATCACAAGCGATTATGATCTTGTTACATCTGTTATCAGATGTACAATATTGTACTCTTACCTGAATTGTATCTCTATTAATATGTATTTCTTTACAACGACTAATTTTTACCGTTTATTTCTACACAATATTATCATTCTGTATTTCTTAGTGCCCGATTGCACCAAGCACAAAATAAATATCATAAATCAGTAAAATAAAATTGTTTTAATGCTGCTACGTAGCTATTCAGTCATACCGACGTCCAAATTCAAATATTCCAATAGGACCCAAATACTATTCCTAAATCTTCTGTATATCAGAACACAACGCCGTTAGATGAAGTTGCTGAATGGGTCGAGTACAGTAGAGAGGAAGGCAGGAAGGAACGAAATCAAAAGCCTTACAGATACTGCGTATTTATACATTTAGGTCGAATAGGAAAGAGTATCGAAGTCTGTGACATTGACAGTTAAAGACGACCAATAAGAAACAACATTGGAGTACGTGACATTGATATCTAGGACGACCATAAAATTAACCAATAGGAATTGACTAATAATTCTCTTTAGATATTGGATGAATATCCTAACAAAAATAAGCTGTTCTTCAATCACTCACTGCACAATGCATCTGGGTACTTTCTACACAAATATTCGTTTTTTTTGTTTATATTCTCATATTGTTTGGTTGTTACTTTTATTGCGTTTTCTGTTGACAATTTGAAATTGCTTAACTCTATTTATTACTAGATGTTATACGCTAAAGCTGCCAAGTATGGTAAACGTGTTCTTTTGGAAATGGGTGGTAATGCTCCGTTTATCATTTTCGACTCTGCAAATATTGAGAAAGCTGTTGCTGGAGCAGTAGGATGTAAATTTCGTTGTTCTGGACAAGTGAGTGTTTTATAGGTCTACAATGCTCATTAAAGCTTCATTGAGTCATTTTGTCTTTCTGAATTCAGGTTTTATATATATATTCAATTCATTTAGTCCCTTCGATATTAAATTAATAGTATATTTCGTGAAATAGTACACTTGTTATTATAATTATTATGAGGTACATCGATGTGAGTAATATATTATTAGTCGTTAATCAAATGTTTATTTCACAATAGAGATTTTTTTTCTAATCTAAACTATTTATCATTCAAATATTGATTATCGTATTAATTTTTCCTGGGGTTTAATTGTCAAAGTGTAATTTCTTTATTTTTCTTTTTTGTATTTTCCTTATTTTCTGTAGACTTGTATATCAGCAAATCGTATTTTTGTTCATGATAAAATACATGATGTATTTGTGAAAAAGTTAACTGAAGCTGTTTCTCGTCTACACATGGGCAATGGTGCTAATCCAAATACCAATTTAGGTCCAGTGATCAATGAAGCAGCCATAACTAAGGTATGAGAAATTTTTGGTTTCTTTTCCCGGATTCTCAATTTCTTTTTCATACTTCACTTGTTATTCTTAGAATAATATTAAACCTACTACTGGTCTTGTGTGAGTTCCTATCCAATCAGCGCCTGGCCCATACTTGGAGAACAGGCTAGAAAATTCTCGTGTTGTTAGCTGCACGCTGATTGGCTAAATCTAATCTGGTCAGTGCTAATCAATCACGTGAATTACATTCCAGAAGCTTCTCATGTAAAGACTATAAGGACACTAAAGTTGTATCTATTTTGCCTTCGCCTTCGGCTTCTTATTTCCATTTAACCTTGCTATTTGGAATATAATCTTTTCCTGTTCCATCGTGTTTTAATTCTTTGGAACTTGTCCAGTTTATTGTGGTCAGAGAACACTAAGCAATAGGAATTAGCTGGGATTTATTTAAGCGAGCGTTACAGTACTCACTGTAAACAAAACACCCTTAAACTACCGAAATAAAATCCGATGGTTCACTTTCTCAAATATACTGCCGTCAAATGTTAGTTTCTGACAAAAAATTAACCATGCAAATCTGTGTATAAAATAATAATAAATATGTAAGAGATCTCTTTCTGTGTTAAATAAATACCAATAAAGTTATCAGTTCTGTTATAAATTTGTTTACTATTATTTTTAGCAACTTTCATTTGTAAAATACATCACTACAAAGCACTAACATAAATTATTTCTCCTTATAGCTTGTTTAATGTTCAAATTCTTACTGTTTCACTTTTCTTTTTCATGTTTTAAAAAAAATGCGGTGGCTAGTAGGGGAAAATATTTTTGATATTTAAAAATACAGAAATCTGAAAGTAAAGGAGAAATAACATGTACGTATTATATTAATTGTTTATTATCTTTCATATCTCCAGCTTACTAACATTTAACACATTACATTCCTGCTATCATTTTCCTCCTCCCTTCTTCTGCATCTCTGAGAAACGGATTTTCACAATTATCTACCCTTATTAACATCACATTATTCTTGTCATTGTCCTCTTCGTCTGGTTGATTTCCTTTCGTTGTGTTGTAAACATGAGTTGTTATTGGCTTACATCGGTACATACAATGATGTGAGCCTACAGTGACCGCCTAGTATTTTACTTTTTCAGTAAGTATTTAAATTGATCCATTCTACATTTGTAAACATTTAATCAAAGTGTCATAACTTCCAAAATTTCATTTTTCTCTCCAGATTGAAAGACTAGTTAATTCATCTGTAGAAAATGGTGCACATCCATTAATTGGTGGTCATGGTAGATTAAAAGGTAAAGATTCATTTGGGTTCGAGTATTCCAATGGTTATTTTTATCCGGCAACTGTTCTATCAAACTGTCACACTAAAATGGCATGTATGGAAGAAGAGGTTTTCGGTCCTGTTGCTTCAGTTTGCAGGTAATGCATATTACACACGATAAGCTTGAATTTTTATTTTAAAAAAAATATGGTTTTGTTTCATTCCCGTGTATTTTACCTATGTGTTTGAGAGTATGAAAACCTCTACAATTTAATACCTCTAAACAGCTATGAGGAACGTAGGACATGGCATACATGTATGTCAACTGACGTTGCAACATTGTGATGTGGAATTAACGAAATTCATAAGCAAAAATAATCATCAAAAACTAATCTTTCTGTAAAATATGGTTTTAATAAAACAGAATAAAATCACTAGGTATGGAAAGCCTTAAATAATATTAAAATCCAGAGTATGGGTAGAAATAACGATGGTCCTTTGCAACTACCCGATTGAGGTCTCCGAAATTACTGATTATGATTAATGTCCGGTCTTAAACCTGGATATGGTCAGGTTTATGGAAATGGCTTTACTGATACTATCAGTAACTTCATGGATTGTTGTTATTATTTTAACTTTTTCTAATATACTCTTTTGTCATTGTTTGTCACGCGTCCAAATAAGCGAAGTAAATTACATAAACTTCATTGAGTCGAGAATCAAAAGTGTTATGTTGTAGCCCATCAAAAAAAGATGTATATACAATATTAAGTGAATTTATGTTTCTAGCAGGAATCCGTACACTTATTCTATAGGGAATATCTGTTGCAGACATACCTTACTGACTAGTCTTCTGTAACATAAAACCCTAAGTTCAGAGATTCTATTCCACTTGCCTCCAAATATGTATTTCCAGAAAAAAAAACCATAACTACTAAACTGAATCACTTAATTTAGTGACTACGTGTTAATTCAAGAATTAAACAATGACACATTGAATTAATTACTAATTAATGTATCAACTACGTGCATATTTTATTGATTTATCTTTCTCTCTCTATAACATTTAGATTTAAAAATGAAGAAGAACTGATAGAATTAGCTAATGCAACACCATACGGTTTAGCTGGTTACATGTATACAGAGAATATTAATCAAGCATGGAGAATCGCAGATCAATTACAAGTTGGTATGGTTGGTATTAATACAGGATTTGTAAGTACTGTTGAATTACCATTTGGTGGAGTGAAAAACTCCGGTATCGGACGTGAAGGTGGACCAAATGCTTTACATGAATTCATGGATATTAAAACAATCACTTGGGATACATCAGATAATTAGGGAGATTTCTTATTTTCTTTTAAATCATTCAAGTTTACTTTTAGTCTTTCAACACAAGGTTGTTATGTTGTCCCGAGTGTTAAGATACAACATCATTAAATTCAAATCTTATTATTTGATGTCTCTAACTTCTTTTTTTTCTAAATTTTTTATTTATCTACTCTTACTTTCCACTCATATTCGTCTAATATTACAACTAGACAAATAACTAATTTTCATGTATAGTTTTAACTTTAATTTTGGAAATAGTAAGTATACTGCTTTTTTTAAAAAAAAATTCAAATATTCATTTTAGTAAATGAAATCTTCCAGTTTCTCACTATTATTCAATAATCTGGATAAAGTTAATTTTTTATTTTTTTTGATTTTTAATACTTCATCAATGAAAGTCTTTAGATAATAGTTGTTTGTAGAAATTTTAATGATATAGTTCATTTAGAATTGATGTTTGAATATGTTATTGTTAAAAATATTGATGAATGCTTACTTGATCTATTTGGTGTTATTTACTTATAAAAGCTTGGGTTTAGATTGCTGAATGAAATGTTGAATTTATCTGTAAAATGCATTCTTAACAGTAGTTATTCTATATACTTTGAACTATTGAATCTTAATTCTGTCATCCGAACTGAACAGAGCTAACAGTCCACTGAGTAATTTAATATATATATATAAAGGATATACAGTAAATTACTTGTAAAATGTCTTATCGAATGTTTTTCTTATGGATACTAATTGTTCATAAATTTTACAACTACTTTTGTACAGAAAATGTTGTGTCGGGTAATCGTCCAGTGCCGATATTGATAAATCATACACCCAAGCTACTACTTGAGTAAAGAAACCAATAGTGTATTGTAAACTTTCATTAGCTAAATGAATCAAATATATGGATTTTTAGATTTAAATTAACTCGTTCTCCTGGTACTTGGATATGAACCACACTACCAATGTTAGGGCTAATGATACTATCTAGTTGCTCAAATTGGAATAGGTGGTTGAAAGCTAAACGACCTAACTACTAAGCGATCGCTCAATCAAATCAAGTACAATTTCATTCATTAATATCTATGAATCCTTCAGAAACTTAGGTCAGATTTTCAGCTACTAATTTATATCTATTTTCCTTAGAAGATTGAGTCATATCTTGATTAATAGTTTACATATATTGGCATCTTTCACTTGTGATTTGGTCCTGAACTGATACATCTAATTAATCATGCATTTCGGTAAAGAACGATCATCTAAGTTCAGTTTTTTACATGAACAGAACCAATTTGTAACTTACAATTAACCATTTTCGGCCTTCACCAATTTTTTTTGCAATGGTTGTAAGCGAACTAATAAAGCTAAACTAAAGAAGATAACAGCACACAGTTTTGAAGAATAATAGTATCAATTTTGGATGGTTTGGAATATTTGAAGGTGTGGTTATTTTTATGTGGCTAAACTTGTGAACCCCCCAAATATTTTCACGATCAATAATAGAAAGCAGCAATGTATTCTACTTTCTTGAATGATATTCAAGTAGAAGATTGTAAAGCTCTTTGCCAGCACCATATTTACATATATATATATGTTGCTAGCTAGAGCTGATAACTATACTAATTTATTTCTTCAAGTGAAGAAACAATACTACTTGTTTATTTGGTCAGTAGAGAGTAGCGTAATTCATCATCTTTTCCAGTTTACGTATTATTTGAGTAAATTATCGGTAGTGAATAAGTTTGTTATGAAACTAAGTATGTTTGTCTTAAAGTAGTGTAAACTTTCCTATGCTTCCCAAATTATCGCTCTTACTGTGATACATAGTGACCCTGTGTTTCATTCCATTTGAAGCCCTGGCTTGCACAAATTTGATTAATAAAGCAGCCAGTAAATGACCCTCGACGTAAAGCGCATACTTAAATAACGTCAGTTCTTAAAGGAATGGTAGGTTAGGATGAAAATGTTAGAGGTTTCTGTGGTCTCTGAGCTAGATAGTTTAGTTGCAAATACTGTCTAGAATAACGAATTTACTACGTTACTTACTTGTCCAAACAATACACTATTTTACGCATGCTAATAAATAAATTTTATAACACCACTTTATCAGTATAACAAACTTTTTAGCTAGTATATAGTGAAAATTTTATCTATACGATCTCAAGTTACTGACTAGTCGTAAGTTCAATGCTATCACTGAATACGAATTATGAACCAGTTTTTTGAAACCACCTGTTTCGTTTAGATTGGTCTCCTTTAACGTTTACATACTAATGCAGACTGGACAACCGATATAGCTGGCTATATTCAGAAAGTCTGAATATCTATGTCTGTTATCTATCCGAGACAGTGTTCGAAGCCCCTGAAAGACAGACTTGCAGGCTGGTTTGTGTTATTTTCAATGATGTGTTGACCATATCACTCTCCGCTAAATGTTGGGACGTTGTTGTTACACTTAATACAGGGCAACAATCGTTATGTTTCTTGATATCGGGGACACCTTCCATTTGTTGTGCAGAACTGTCCTCTGGGATTGTTTATTGCTGATAGGTTAGTCAGTCACATCATTCCTGTTCAACTTTTCTATCGATGACGTTCTGGAAACAATTCATACAGATGTATGCAATAGTGGTGTGGATCTGTTACCTAGGGAAAGACTTTCCGATCTTGATTATGCGGGTGATATTGTCTTACTGTACGACCATTCTCAAACGATGGCGTTCGACTTTCATTCCGTTAACTGTAACCATTCTAGTTCTAGTCAACTGCTTTTCATTCATCTCAAGTCTGTCTCCATTTCTCGGTGTAATTTGTTCATTACCCCCCTATTTTCCCTCAGCCTTAAGGATTCCAAGTGAGGGCTTTTCTTGTGGCACAGTCCGATGCTTTCCGCAGTGTGTCCTATCCACATCCAGCGTTTCGTCTTGATTTCTTCCTCCATTGGAATCTGGTTTGCTCTCTCCCACAGTGGGTTGTTGCTGATGGTGTCTGGCCAACGGATCCGAAGTATTTTGCGTTGCCAACTGTTAAATGAACACTTGCATCTTCTGGATGAAGAGTATCTTGCGTAGACAATTGCTAATAAACACCTGTACCTGTACCTTCCCCAGGTTCCGCCTCATGCAGTAGGACTGTCTTGATATGTGTATTGAAAATTCTAACTTCGGTGTTGGTTGATAGTTGTTTTGGTCTCCATATGTTGTTTAGTTGAAGACATGCTGTCCCTGCTTTCCCAATCCGCGACTTCATATGTGCATAAGATCTACCTTGTTCATCAAACAGACTTCCCGGATCTGGAAAGGTTTTTACAATGTTCCAAAGCTTCTCCGTCGAATTTGATTTGGTTGTTGTAGGCTGTGTTGTATCGGATAATCTCGCTTTTCCCCTTGAGTATGTTGAAACCTACTGTTGCTGAGGGTGCTGATACACTGGTCGTCTTCTCGTGCATTTGTTGCTGCATGTGATAAAGAAGAGCCAAATCATCTGCAATGAATATTAAAGGACTGTGCGTGACTTAATCCTTTATATAAAATTATGTAATTATACAATAGTTAAACAAAAGTATAATCAATGCTATAATAGAAATTTATAATTCAAATACGGATTACGGCTACTTGAAACAAAAAATCACTGTGATTCTCATGATATAAATAAAAATACAAACTGATGTTAGGTGAAGATTTCTATCGAATTTTTTTTGATAAGCATTCAGTATAATTTTGGCTTAGAATGATGTTCATTTGTAATAATTAGTCTGTTGCGTTTTTTCGTTCACTTAACTTCTGTCTAGTATGTATATTCAATCGCAGTAATTCTCTGTGATATTCCATTCAAATGACAAGTGTTCAGTCTGATAATTCTTTTAATTCAGTCACTTACAACGTATGAACATCAACTCAAGGTGCCACGCCACATTAGCACAGAGACGCAATTGTCACTTCAAGTCCCATAGTAGTAGAGGTAGTACAAGTATTAACAGTAATCAAAAAGTTTAATGAACGAATGTATCGTTCGGGGTGTATACGCCAGAGAAATCGATTGAAAAAAGAGAGAAAATGGTCTCGAGGAATTCAGCAGATTAGGATTCCAGAGAACAAAAAGAGTGGATGATCCTGTACTATTATAAACAGTTTTGAGCTATGTCATTCAAGGTGTCTAACCATCGGTTACTATCTTTTCGAGGACCCCAACCAGGTAGCCTACATCTACCAACATGAATCAGCCCAATTATCAGTGACTTTATGGATTTCTGCCATGTTTTGGTTTCGATGCCCCTAGTTTCCCTACAACCTACTCCTACATCACGAAATATAGCTCAACGAGGAAGTCTGGGGTTAGGCATTCGTAACACATGTCCCAACCACCTCAACTAGCGAAGTTTCACCATTTCATCTATTGGTTTACCAACCTTATCTGGGAGCCGTTTCCTAACAACTGCATTGCTTACTCGATAGATCCAAGATAAACGTGCAATGCATCGAAGACACCTATGATCGAAAACCAGTAACCTACGAATATTTTCTGTAATTAATAATCATTGAATCTAATTGAACAAACAGAACTGTTCTAGCATTTTTACCAAATAAATCTCCCACATAAGATTTCTATTTAGACGTAGTAGTAGTAGTAGTAGTAGTAGTAGTAGTAGTAGTAGTAGTAGTAGTAGTAGTAGTAGTAGTAGTAGTAGTAGTAGTAGTAGTAGTAGTAGTAGTAGTAGTAGTAGTAGTAGTAGTAGTAGTAGTAGTAGTAGTAGTAGTAGTAGTAGTAGTAGTAGTAGTAGTAGTAGTAGTAGTAGTAGTAGTAGTAGTAGTAGTAGTAGTAGTAGTAGTAGTAGTAGTAGTAGTAGTAGTAGTAGTAGTAGTAGTAGTAGTAGTAGTAGTAGTAGTAGTAGTAGTAGTAGTAGTAGTAGTAGTAGTAGTAGTAGTAGTAGTAGTAGTAGTAGTAGTAGTAGTAGTAGTAGTAGTAGTAGTAGTAGTAGTAGTAGTAGTAGTAGTAGTAGTAGTAGTAGTAGTAGTAGTAGTAGTAGTAGTAGTAGTAGTAGTAGTAGTAGTAGTAGTAGTAGTAGTAGTAGTAGTAGTAGTAGTAGTAGTAGTAGTAGTAGTAGTAGTAGTAGTAGTAGTAGTAGTAGTAGTAGTAGTAGTAGTAGTAGTAGTAGTAGTAGTAGTAGTAGTAGTAGTAGTAGTAGTAGTAGTAGTAGTAGTAGTAGTAGTAGTAGTAGTAGTAGTAGTAGTAGTAGTAGTAGTAGTAGTAGTAGTAGTAGTAGTAGTAGTAGTAGTAGTAGTAGTAGTAGTAGTAGTAGTAGTAGTAGTAGTAGTAGTAGTAGTAGTAGTAGTAGTAGTAGTAGTAGTAGTAGTAGTAGTAGTAGTAGTAGTAGTAGTAGTAGTAGTAGTAGTAGTAGTAGTAGTAGTAGTAGTAGTAGTAGTAGTAGTAGTAGTAGTAGTAGTAGTAGTAGTAGTAGTAGTAGTAGTAGTAGTAGTAGTAGTAGTAGTAGTAGTAGTAGTAGTAGTAGTAGTAGTAGTAGTAGTAGTAGTAGTAGTAGTAGTAGTAGTAGTAGTAGTAGTAGTAGTAGTAGTAGTAGTAGTAGTAGTAGTAGTAGTAGTAGTAGTAGTAGTAGTAGTAGTAGTAGTAGTAGTAGTAGTAGTAGTAGTAGTAGTAGTAGTAGTAGTAGTAGTAGTAGTAGTAGTAGTAGTAGTAGTAGTAGTAGTAGTAGTAGTAGTAGTAGTAGTAGTAGTAGTAGTAGTAGTAGTAGTAGTAGTAGTAGTAGTAGTAGTAGTAGTAGTAGTAGTAGTAGTAGTAGTAGTAGTAGTAGTAGTAGTAGTAGTAGTAGTAGTAGTAGTAGTAGTAGTAGTAGTAGTAGTAGTAGTAGTAGTAGTAGTAGTAGTAGTAGTAGTAGTAGTAGTAGTAGTAGTAGTAGTAGTAGTAGTAGTAGTAGTAGTAGTAGTAGTAGTAGTAGTAGTAGTAGTAGTAGTAGTAGTAGTAGTAGTAGTAGTAGTAGTAGTAGTAGTAGTAGTAGTAGTAGTAGTAGTAGTAGTAGTAGTAGTAGTAGTAGTAGTAGTAGTAGTAGTAGTAGTAGTAGTAGTAGTAGTAGTAGTAGTAGTAGTAGTAGTAGTAGTAGTAGTAGTAGTAGTAGTAGTAGTAGTAGTAGTAGTAGTAGTAGTAGTAGTAGTAGTAGTACTACTACTACTACTACTACTACTACTACTACTACTACTACTACTACTACTACTACTACTACTACTACTACTACTACTACTACTACTACTACTACTACTACTACTACTACTACTACTACTACTACTACTACTACTACTACTACTACTACTACTACTACTACTACTACTACTACTACTACTACTACTCTACTACTACTACTACTACTACTACTACTACTACTACTACTACTACTACTACTACTACTACTACTACTACTACTACTACTACTACTACTACTACTACTACTACTACTACTACTACTACTACTACTACTACTACTACTACTACTACTACTACTACTACTACTACTACTACTACTACTACTACTACTACTACTACTACTACTACTACTACTACTACTACTACTACTACTACTACTACTACTACTACTACTACTACTACTACTACTACTACTACTACTACTACTACTACTACTACTACTACTACTACTACTACTACTACTACTACTACTACTACTACTACTACTACTACTACTACTACTACTACTACTACTACTACTACTACTACTACTACTACTACTACTACTACTACTACTACTACTACTACTACTACTACTACTACTACTACTACTACTACTACTACTACTACTACTACTACTACTACTACTACTACTACTACTACTACTACTACTACTACTACTACTACTACTACTACTACTACTACTACTACTACTACTACTACTACTACTACTACTACTACTACTACTACTACTACTACTACTACTACTACTACTACTACTACTACTACTACTACTACTACTACTACTACTACTACTACTACTACTACTACTACTACTACTACTACTACTACTACTACTACTACTACTACTACTACTACTACTACTACTACTACTACTACTACTACTACTACTACTACTACTACTACTACTACTACTACTACTACTACTACTACTACTACTACTACTACTACTACTACTACTACTACTACTACTACTACTACTACTACTACTACTACTACTACTACTACTACTACTACTACTACTACTACTACTACTACTACTACTACTACTACTACTACTACTACTACTACTACTACTACTACTACTACTACTACTACTACTACTACTACTACTACTACTACTACTACTACTACTACTACTACTACTACTACTACTACTACTACTACTACTACTACTACTACTACTACTACTACTACTACTACTACTACTACTACTACTACTACTACTACTACTACTACTACTACTACTACTACTACTACTACTACTACTACTACTACTACTACTACTACTACTACTACTACTACTACTACTACTACTACTACTACTACTACTACTACTACTACTACTACTACTACTACTACTACTACTACTACTACTACTACTACTACTACTACTACTACTACTACTACTACTACTACTACTACTACTACTACTACTACTACTACTACTACTACTACTACTACTACTACTACTACTACTACTACTACTACTACTACTACTACTACTACTACTACTACTACTACTACTACTACTACTACTACGTTAAAATAGAAATCTTATGTGGGAGATTTATTTGGTAAAAATGCTAGAACAGTTCTGTTTGTTCAATTAGATTCAATGATTATTAATTACAGAAAATATTCGTAGGTTACTGGGTTTCGATCATAGGTGTCTTCGATGCATTGCACGTTTATCTTGGATCTATCGAGTAAGCAATGCAGTTGTTAGGAAACGGCTCCCAGATAAGGTTGGTAAACCAATAGATGAAATGGTGAAACTTCGCTAGT